CATATGAAAATATACGAGGACGGTTAGTTAGGTTAGTACATCTTCATTCTCAACAACTTTACCTACCCTTCAACTATAAGATCAATTGATGGTAAATTTTTAAATTTATGAATGATAAATCATGTTCTCAACAAAATAAAAGAATTGACACTAAATGAGTTCGCAAAGTTAGAGTTAAAAGGTTATGCAAATTCAACTTAATTTTGTCACGCATTTAAACGGCGACATGGCCCGATGCTGTTGAAGAATATAAAACTATTTAAAATCGACTGAAACACCGAATAAAAAAATTAAAATAGTTGCTAAACAATTGAAAACTAAAATAACCCAAGAAAATTTCGAAACTGAAATGATTAATTTTTACATTCAATGATTCCTTTAAGATGTGTTGAGACCATATTTTTTAAAAATGTTTGATGCCTTAAACATATCTGATTGTGGACTTCGTTTAAGCCGTCGATCTTTTGTCGAAAATTGATAATTTTATGAAAAATAAAAATGAAATAAAGAAGAATTAAACGATGCTCAATTTGTTGTTTGTACTATAGTAGATATTTGGTCTGGAAAAAGAAGTTTCTCGGGGTAACATGTCATTGGATTTCAATAAATACTAAATAGAATATCCGCTTTAGCTCGTTTCGTTTAAGGTAGTCATACTAATGACAAAATTCAGATTAATTAATGAGATAATTCTGAATTTAACTTGAGTCCTACTAAAATTGTACAACGATTACTGATAAAGGCAGCAATTTCGTTAAGGCTTTCAAAATGTTTGGAGTTAATCTTAATATATATAAATCTCGTGTCACAATATTTGTCCTCAATGGACTCCTAAACCACTTAACCAATTCTGATGAATTTTTTTACACCGCGTGTAATTTGGTCCAACTTAAAAGATAGGATATAGGGTATGGACCTAACTCCTGTGAGTTAGAGATTTAGAGACAAAAACCGAGTTACACCGGTGGCATCCTCTAGCAGATAAAAATAAAATATAAATAATAATACAAAAATCGATAATAGCAGGGCTTGAAATCGATTAATATCGATAAAAATCGAAAAAAAAAATATATTTTTATATTCTGGTTGATATACATTTTTTATTATAGGCACTTATAACTTTTGAGTAAACAAATATAATAGTTGGCACATTATTCATTTTATTTTGAAACATTATCGTTTTATGTTATCTATGAACTTTTTCAATCAAAAACTATTGTTTTTTGGAGAGAATTTTTATTGATGATTCGACAAGATATTGACAATCATCTATTGAGATATCGCCGGTTGTTTCAACAGTACTGCGTCGACATGTACGTCAAGGTCGAAACGTAGCGTCTCAATTTCATTCGCTTCAATCAGTCAAAGTTACGATCAGACGAGTACATCCACTTGCGTGATGCCATCGCTACCGAAGGAGACGCGGCCAACATTGGTCGTTTGACTATTCTCCCAGCTACTCATATTGGAAGCCCGACAGAGGAAAGAGCAATAGTGATATAATTGGAAAATTTTTTAGAAGATCACAATCAACTAATTCAATTGATCAAAAGAGTTTCGCCACGACTGCAAAATGACAATTATCAAATCGTCATAAAAGCCGACAAAGTACCATTAGGTGAACATGCTGGTAAAAATATATTGAAAATAATATTGTGAGAAAAATATAAAAATTGTATGACAGAAGACATCTTGCACCGAATTAGACAAATAAATCAATGCCAAAACATAGATTATACACCAGAGATGTACAATGAAGCATTGGTCTTGATCGAGGATTTATGTGTTTTTATTTCAAATTTACCACTTAATCATTATGGTATGCCATCACCTAATCATCCAGCTACCGACTTAGACAATACCGATTTACAACGAGAAAATCAATATGACCATGGAAGTTTAGCAACAATTATCATGAACAGTGAACCATTACTGACAGCAGAACAAAAAATTATTTATGAACGGATTATGCTGGCTGTTGCTGCTGAACAAGGCGGTTTTTTTTTCTTGGATGCACCCGGTGGAACCGGTAAGACATTTTTAATATCGTTGATTCTTGCCAAAATACGGTCGCAACAAAAAATCGCATTAGCTGTAGCATCGTCAGGCATTGCGGCTACTTTACTGAATGGTGGGCGAACAGCACATTCAACATTCAAGCTGCCATTGGACGTTCATAATAAACCAGATGTAATGTGTAACATTAAAAAGAATAGTGGAATAGCTGCAGTGTTGCGGAAGAGTTCCATAATAATTTGGGATGAGTGCACAAAGGCACACAAATATTCACTTGAAGCACTAAACAGAACTATGCAAGATTTAAACAGCAATAATAAACTTTACGGTGGTGCTATCTTACTTTTGTCTGGTGACTTCCGGCAGACCTTACCGGTTATACCTCGCTCTACTTTCGCGGACAATTTTTGCACTGTTGTTCAGGATAAAAATGATTTGATTCAGAGTATTTTCCCGGATATACAGAATAATTATTTGAATCATGAATGGCTTAGTCAACGGGCGATTTTGGCAGCCAAAAACGTTGATGTTGACGAAATTAACTTCCAGATACAACAGTTGTTACCAGGCGATCTGATGTCATTTAAATCAATCGATACTGTTGTTGACGAAAATGAAAGTGTAAATTTTCCGAATGAATTTTTAAATTCATTAGATATCCCTGGAATGCCACCACATAATCTTCGATTAAAGATTGGTTCCCCTATTATTCTCCTCCGTAATTTGAAGCCACCTCAATTATGTAACAGTACGCGTTTGGTCATCAAAAAGATTACCGGAAACATTCTTGAAGCAACCATTTTGTCTGAGAAGTTTAAAGGAAAAGTGGTCCTGCTGCCACGTATTCCGATGATACCATCAGATTCTACCATACCCTTCAAAAGGCTACAGTTTCCAATTCGTTTAGCTTTCGCCATGTCTATAAATAAATCTCAAGGTCAAACAATGTCCATTTGTGGTTTAGATTTGGAAAATCCATGTTTTTCTCATGGGCAACTATATGTTGCGTGTTCACGTGTTGGGAAACTGTCGAATCTATTTGTGTTAGCTAAAGACAGGTTAACCAAAAGCATTGTGCACCGATTGGTGTTAAATTAAATAGAAAAATTAAAAGTATTTATAATTTTAAAAATTAGATATTAACGTTTAAAAGTTTAAGACTGTCTGCTTAATATCAAGTGTAAGATCATTTAGCCACAGCAACGCGTGGCCGGGTCAGCTAGTTTATTTATAGATTCGTGGATTGATTTTATATTTATCCTCTTGACGCTTAATGTCCATTTCAATGGACATTTTGTGTTACTCCCTGAAACGCCTGACCTGTTTATAACAATTGTAACCGTATGTGCCTGATGTCCATTTCAATGGATATTTATAAGTATTTACCTCCTAAGTGCCGAACCATATTTTATCTTCAATTAGTTTGATATGATATTATAACCTCAAAATAGATATGATAAGGAACAATAATAAAAAATATAAACATTTTTATCATTCTTCCTTCACGTATAAAATACGCTCCAAAAAATGTCCATTACAATGGACATTTGGTAATTGTTACTACAACAACATATTAATACTAGAAATAACTTGCTTATTAAATCATTAGTAATATTCAAGCAAAGTTTTATAGTTGATGCCTTTATTTGAATAATAACTAAATGTGTTTAGTTATTTAGTAATTATATTAAATATTTTAGTAATTTAATTAGACATAAAATAATAATAAAATTGACTTGATAATAACTTATGTTATGACATTATAACTATAAAGTTAAAATATAATATTTATTTACAAAATTTAAATTTAAATTATGTTTTATGGAAATTAAAAAAACAATTATTGCTTGTGGTAATGCAAAAATACATAGAACATTCATTGCATTGAATCTTTGTTTTTTTTTTTACAACCTATAAAACGACACCTTGATGAATTTTTTATATCCTTCATTATTGGTAAATGTTCAGTACCTGAAATATAGGTATAAATAAGTTAATTATTTCAACGCAAACATACCTAATATTTATTATTATTTTTGTTAACCTTTATATCTTTTCTCTTTTGACGGTAATGAATTATGCCTTCCAGAATATTTTTGATAATCAATACTATTTTCATCATACTCCAATAGTTCACTTGATAGTTGAATTTTAAAATCTAATAGTTGGTGTATTTTTTAACTGGAACTTCCTTTTTTATTTGGTCTTGTTTGTACAGTATCCAGCTGTTAACAACAGCTAAATCGATTAAATGAAAAATTGCTCGTATGGTCCATTTGTTAGTTCTTGTTTTCATACGATAAAATGATATCATACGATCGCAAAGATCGACACCACCCATATAATCATAATAGTTTTTAATAATTTGAGGAATAGGAACTTCAATTCTTTTTTTTATTTTTATTATCCCAACGTTTGCATTTACTATGTGGAGTACTGCCATTTTCAGTAGAAAGTAAATGAATGGGTTTATTATCAAACCATTTAACTAAACATAGTTTTTTGTCTTCTCGGACGTATTGTACAAAGGTTATTTCATTAGAATTTTATCCGATAATATATCAATATTTTTAGGTATGTTGTTTTTCATAACTGTTCCCGTACAAACAATTTTCTTTTGTTTCAAAATGTCCATAAGTTTTTGAGTTGTAAAAAATCTATCAAAATACAAACATGATCCCGGTGGAACAGTTTAGGATAAATGAACGACAGCAGATTCTCCAATAGTAAGAAAGTATTCACTGTTTGTTTCAAATGTCGTTCCTTTTCCTTGGTAAATACAAAAATCCAACTCTAATCCGTTTTTATTTGCTAAAACAACATTTTTAAGTCCAATTGGGTTTGGTTTTCTGCGAACAAACTGTTTAATTTTAACATTACCAGTGAAAGGAATCATTTGTTCGTCAATACATAATTCTACATCTCGTACTAATCTTAAACAACCACTTCTAACACTCTATGAACGGACGAACTTTCCAAAATGCATCTCTTTTTTCGTTTGAAATATCATCATCGTTCACTACTTTTAAAAATTTTCGAATTACTAAAAAGCGATCTCTAGATATAGAATTACTAACTGTAGGTACTCTTGTTCTTTTTTGCTAATACATACGCATTCGTGGATAACCTAAAGTCGACATGTACATATTTGAACTTATAAAACATTTAATTTCGTATAATGTAGTATTAAATGATTTTCCAATAACTTTAACACTTCTGATATTAGTACAATCTACCATATTTTTAATTGTCGCATCATTTACATATTGATTAAAATAATTAATTGGTGTCCACCCGGTTCTCTCGTAATCATTGTACTCATCGGGTTGGGTTCTTTTTATTTTTTTTTTAAAACCACTTTTTTTCTTCCATTTCATATTATTTACATACTTAGTTGGTGATACACTAATATTAGAAGAAGAGTTAGTGCTATGTAAATTAGTATTAGGACTAGGACTACGTAAATTGTTTGTTTGTACACACGTTTCGGTACTCTCGGTATTTAATTCAACTAATAAATCCTCAATATTGATATTAGAATTTGAAAACTGACTAAAATATTTATCGTTTTCCTCTAGAAGTTCGTTAATATCCATTGAAATATCATTATGTACTCCTAGTGGATCTGGTATATCATAATCTTCATCTCCACTTACATCAAAGTCAATTTCACATTCTGACGTGTTACCATTATTAATGAGTTCTGATATTGCCTCATCAGATAAATTTGATGAACGAATCATATTATTATAACTTGGAAAAATATTCGGTACGCACGTCTACACGGAATCGTCTGAACCTAATAATACACTGTGTCTGTCTACGTCATTAACTCAATGTTTAAACAATAAAATATACTATAAAAATTATTTACGATAACGATATACTAGAATGTTTAATATAAAAATAACTTATTGTTGACATGTAATAATATTATTGAAATGATATAAGTCACAATAATAGGTATTCCCCAACGAAAAGATATTTGAATTTATAAACACATTAAAAAA